AGCAATTTAATTATGCTGATTAACATTTGGGGTGGTATGGTGGCACTATGCTTAACATTTCTGTCTCACAATGCTGGGGCCCAGGCTTCAATTCCTCAGGTGCTGTCTGCATGGATGTAGAAGTTCTCCCCATGTTTGTGTGAGGATTCCTCCCACAGTCCAAAGATAGGTTAATTGGCTTCTGTGAAATTTGGATATGGTGTGAGTGTATGCGTTTTTGTGTCTGTGTGTGCTCCGCAATGGGCTGTCATCCCATCCAGTTTATGCCTTGCACTCATTGCTTGCTGGTACTGGCTCCAGCTTCCCAGTGACCTAGTATTTGATAAAACGGTTAGAAATTTGATGGATATATCGATTAACATTTGTCACCAACAAAACTAATTAACAGAAGGTCTACAGTGAAAGTCGCATACTAGTAGAATACGTTAGAAGTCACTTATGCTATAAATGTTGTTGTTTTTAGGATTCTGTCCCATCCCTTTCATACAGTGTGGACAAGCATGTGTCTTTTCACTGGTCTCTGAGCCATAGATGCCACACATCATCCCTGTTCACCCAGCAAATGGCAAATGGGGCTCAAGACTGGCAAGTAGAGCACTCACAGCACAAAAGCCACATTCTCATCTTAGAATAGAGCAGCATAAAGATGTGTATTGTTCTGCTGAAATGTTGTCACATCTTAATAAGCTTCCAAGAAAGGAAAAAGAGAGGTCCCAGGAATTAAGCTGTGTAGCACGGTGCAGTCAGATTGCCACTAATAACTGCAAGTGATGTTCTACACTGACTAGAAATTTCTGCCCAGACCATGACACTAAGACCTCCCTAATAATTTACTGTACTCTTCGCTGCACAACAATTAACAAAATAGGTATTTTGGTCTTAATAAGTAAGACATACTTTCCTCTTCTAAAAACTTCCATCTATAAATAGATTGATAGCTTTCTTTTCTATATATATATAACCTATTTAATAGTTACCTGGTAAAAATACATTTCTGTGCACTGACAAATCATTTTGGGAAAGCAATAATTGCATGACATTCTAGTGAATTCTTTCAAACAATCTTTACAGATAGTATCTTGATAACAAATTACCATAGACATTAGTTCACTGGCAAATATTAAAAGGTGTAAGGTTGATAGAGACTATTAGAGACATAATAATAATTGAAGACACTGAAAATGCAATTAAGAAATGACCACCTATGCTTTTACTAAGCAAAGACATTTGCAAAACTGAGAACTTTCCTAAAATTTCAGATGTAATTTAGAAACAATACAGCAAAAACTACAATAAAATTAAAATGATTTTGATCATTTCCAGACATTCTTAGGTCAAATGTGAAAAAATAACTCCAATTCCTGTTTGACAATAAGAATAATACTTTGCCAAAATTAGGCAATTTTGTACTTCTCCTCCTTCCAGTTCAATCAAACCTTTTGTTAACATACTGTCACTTTTGAATGGCCCATAATTTGGACACATTTTTTACATTTAACAAAATGTTACTGCCCCTATAAAAACACATTTTAATATAAAATGCATGCTATTCATCATTCATCTCTTTAAACATGCATTTATCAACAGAATCAATGAGACTATGCAGGTATTCTGGAATTCAGAAATGTTTTATTTAATGTTATATTTAAAGCAAATTTAAATTACTACTCAGTTACATTTTATTATTATGAATGTAGTCTTAATATAAAAGTGCTGTATTATTAAAATTACATGTAAGAAAATATTATCAAAGTGTCTTAATTCATAATACCAAACAAACATCGCCTTGAGGCACTGTAGTGAAACAAAAATAGACAAGAAAACAAATCTCAGCGTGATTAGACTCATCTTGTAGTTCTAAAAGTCAGATAAAAATGTTCAATTTATCCATCCATTCTCAGCAAGTTGCTTATTTCTGGTGAATGTTGTGGTCTTTAAATTTTGTCAGAGTATTATACAGTATGAATACTGATT